ATGTATATATGTATATTATAATTAGAGTAGTAGTCAATCACCAGCAGAAAGTCCTTTCCATCCAGATGAAATAAATCAGTGCCTACCTTTTGCCAGGGTGAAGAGGGTAGGTCTGCTATCATCATTGTCTCTTTTGTTTGTTTATAGTGATGTTTAAGACATGTTCCACATTTTTGTATCATCTCTTCAATATCCCTGTTGATGCTCAGCCAGTAAACCGCTACTCTTGCTCTCCATTTACATTTTTCCACACCAAGATGTCCTCATGGATACGTTGCAGTATGTCTTTCCGTGTGGTTTGAGGGATGACAATCTTGTTTTGTCTCAGCAGCAGCCCATTGGCCAAACACAAATCTGCACGCACAGAGTAGAACCCTGGACAGACCAGTTTGGATATGATAGGACACTTTTTGTAACAGCTGATCTTTTGTTGTCTCTTGTACAATTTGCTGTAAGATGACATCTGATACTGGGAGTGAAGCAGTTACCATGTTTACATTTGTTTCAGCATCCTCAGATGTAGGACTGCCCAACAACTCACAGCTTGGTGCTGGTGCTCGTGACAATGCATCTGCCAACACAATGTACTTTCCTGGAGTATATCAATCAACCTTTATTTCTACAGGTAAATCCCTCTCTTGTAAATGAGCCTCGAGGACTCATTTACAAGAGAGACCTGATTTCAACAAAGAAAGATGACAACAATGGACAAGAGCAACAACAATAAACAGTTATAAAAAAGCATACTACAGGTTTTTTTTTTATTTTTTTAACAAATAGGATGGCTAAAAGGAAAAGGTAACAAAACAAAAATAACAGCTAGATTCCAAGACAAATGTAGAAGACTAAAAACAGGAACATGTCAGCATTGGACCCTGCCAGGTGTCCAACAGATTCTTAAAGACACTTAGAGAGGTCAAAGGTCGAGAGCTTCAAATCTTTTTGTAAGATATTCCAGGAAACAGGAGCGGAACAGGAGAAGGCCCTTTTGCCTAGTTCAGTCCTCACTGAGGGAACACTGCAGGTAATAATGTCCTGAAAGCGCACTCCGTAGCTGCACTCACGCAGAGACATGTAGGAGGAGATGTATGAAGGCAACAGACCAAGAAGTGATTTAAAGATGAAAATATACCAGTGAGAGAGTCTGCGTGAAGTTAATGATGTCCAGTTAACCAGTGGATACTGGGTGCAGTGGTGGGTACAGTAGTTACAGCCAGTTATGAATCTTAGTGCACCATGATAGACAGCATCCAACATCTGCAGGGTTCTTGTAGGAGCGTTCATGTAAATAATATCACCATAATCAATTGAGGGAAGGAAAGTCACAGATACAAGGTGTTTCCTAACATTCAGGGTTAGACAGGATTTGTTTCTGAAAAAGAAACCCAGATTAACTTTCAGTTTCTTTACCAAGTTTTCCACATGGAGCTTAAAAGAGAGATGTGAGTCGACCAAGATACCCAAATATTTATAGGAATCAACAAACTCAATGGGGACACCATTTGAGGATAAAATCGGAGGAAGAGCTGCTGGGACCAACTTCCTATTTGAAAAAAGCATCCCTTTGGTTTTGTCGGCATTTAGGACAAGTTTGAGGTGAAACAAATCTGTCTGGATGTTGTTGAATGCAGATTTCAAAAGCTGGAAAGCCTTAGCAACAGTTTTAGCTCGACAATAAACAACTGTGTCGTCAGCATAGAAATGTATGGATGCATTAGGGATGTTTTTACCTACATTATATATGTAGATTGTAAAGAGGGTGGGTCCTAAGACTGAGCCTTGTGGTACACCATTGTTGACTGTTAAATAACTGGAGGAAGTACCATTATGTTGAACACATTGCCTCCGGTCTGAGAGATAGTTAGAGAACCAACCAATGGTGTGATCTGAGAAACCGATTTCTGAGAGTTTATGACACAAGATGTTCTGATCCACAGTGTCAGAATCTTTAGACAGGTCTAAGAAAAGTGCAGCACAATAATCCTTAGCATCCAGTGCTTCAACAACATCATTAAGAACCTTCAGTGAAGCAGTGGTTGTGCTGTGTTGTTTCCTGAAACCAGATTGATGTGGAGGTAAGATGTTAAATGAGTCCAGGTAATTTTTGATTTGAGAGTTTATCAGTTTTTCTAGAACCTTGGCTAAAATGCAGAGTTTAGAGATTGGTCGATAGTTGTTCAGTGAGGTGGGGTCACCTCCCTTCAGCAAAGGAAGAACAAAGGCTGTTTTCCAAGTGTCTGGGATGGAGTTTTGTCTTATGGAGAGACTGAAGATGTGGGTCACAGGGACTGTGATGATATGAGCAGCCAGCCTTAAGAAATAAGGTGGAAGTTCATCTGGACCTGCAGATATTTTAGGGTCAAGATCTTTTAACAGTTTATTGACCTCACTGACTGAGAATGGAGAAAAAGAGAAACTGTGATTAACTGAGGATTGACTTGTAGGAGGGATTTGATTTGTAGAAGTTTGATTATTAAGTGAAGTGGCTGATCTTCCATTAGTAACTGTGTCAAATAAAGAACCAGAAGCAACAAAATGTTTGTTGAGACAGTTCAGGATCTCATGCTTATTTGACACAGGAACAGAGTTAACGAGAAGTTGTGATGGGAGGTCAGATGATTGGGTGGTGCCTGAGAGAGATTTGATGGTTTTCCAGAAGCTGTTAGGGTCATTCAGATTTTTGGAGGTCTGAGATAAGAAATAGTTGCGTTTTGCTGCTTTGACAGAAGTTGTGCATTTATTCCTCATCTGTCGAAAACTCAACCAATCAGTATCTGAGCCAGATTTTCTCGCTGCAGCCCAAAGATGATCTCTCCTGTGCAGGAGGTCAGCTAGCTCTGGAGTAAAC